TTTACATACTGTCCTGTTACAAATAGTTCTTCAAGATACAAAAATGGAACATATAAAGTGGGAATTCAAACAGCGAGACTGCAAACAGTTCTGTTCAACTATCCATCAAAAACTTAGTAATACATTATCAATCGTATACTCTTAAAAATATATGCAGGTATCCATACCTTCATTTATGTTGAGATTAAACAAACTAAAGCAGGCTAAAATCATTTTGAATGAAAGATAATAGCATTGTTGGATTTCACATCATGACACTCTGTGATCAGCACTGGGTACTATAGTGTCTTTTTTTTTCAATTTTATTTAAAAAAGACTAAACAAATTAGAAAATGGGTAGAAATAATACATACTTTCAAAGAAAAAATAAACAGTAAGAAATCACTAGTTGATGATTACAGAGTGTCCTCTTACAAATAGTTATTCATGATACTAAAGTGGAGCATATAAAAGTGGGGATTCAAACAGAGAGACTGCAACCAGTACTGTTCAACTATCCAACAAAAACTTAGAAACATGGTTATCAATCCTATACACTTAAACATACATGCAGTTATCCATCTCTTCAACTATGTTGCCATTGAATAAACCCAAGCAGGCTAATACCACTCTGAACAAAGAATAATACTATTGCTGGGTTTCACTTTATGACACTTCAGGATCAGCACTGGGTACTTTAGTGTCTCTTTTTCTTTAAAGAGAAAATTTGCTCATTTCATCATGTGTCATAATATTAGTTCTCATAAACTGTTTATAGGTTCTACACACGCATGAGTCTTAACATGTATTTCTATCCTTTCTATATTAGATGGGGAAACTAAACAAAGCAAGACAAAACAAAACATCTTCCTATAAACACATGAAATGAAAAAGACATCTAAGGTCATTGTACAAGGAGTTCTACCATAGTTCCCATGTTGTCTCTTGTTATCTTCAATAGAATTGGCTATATCATCAGACAGAATATAATTGAATATATCAGTACATATCAGTATTAATAAAAACACAACTTTGTTTATAGTATAAAACTTAAAAAACAGGCAGTAATCAAACCAGAGTATGTATCATAGTGAGTCTTGTCATCTTCAGTGTAGCTGCCTATATGCTCAGACTTGATACTATCAATCATATCAGTTTTGAATAAAATCTGTCGATACCAAACAGCAATTGAACAAACCAGATTTAACCTAAGATCAGTCATGATAAAACAGTATAAGTCATACAGGGCTCCAGATTAAGTTAATAGGAAATTAATTATGATTACTGTGCTATACCCTAATGTTTTGGGGATAGATGTCTGTGTCCTCAAATCTAATGCAAGTAGACAAACTGGGATAGAATAAAATCTACCTAAGTAGGGTGATGCGAGTAATATGGGTTTTAAATCCTGATACACTGTTAATAATATCTTCTGCCATTTTTTAAAGACTCTCCCTTCCCTTTCACTTCCCCAGGGTACATTGTGCATTTTTGGGTCTGACCAAGACCCTTGGTTTTAAATTGGGCAGGGGGCAACCTGCTATTTAATTAAGTGGTTCTGAACCTTCTCTCTCCTGGACTTGATCTCTAATTGTATTCCTTTACCTCTTAAAGCCTGTCTTTCCAACCTGTCCACAAATACTGGTCTACTTGCCCCTATTACTCTCTGGTTCTCTGTCACATAGAGCAATGTTTTCTTATATTTAATTTTCAGTCCATGTACTCTTTTTCATGTTAATTATATTTCCTAAAAATAGCATCTCAGTGGACCCTACCTCCTAATCTACTCTACATGTGGTTCTTTTTTTTAATTTAGTGTATCAAGGCCATCTATATTAGAAATTATAACCAACCATCTCTGCCTCATTTCTGTTATGCTCTTTTTTTGTCATCAGTTGTCTGCTTGTCTTCTTCATTCTGTTTTCTGCTCCATTCATTGAGGCCTCTCTGCCACTGTTCCTGAAATCCTAGTACTTTTCTCTTCTAGAATGCCCTACAGTATTCTCTGTAAAGTTGGATTGGTGGTAGCAAATTTTCCAAGTTCCTCTTTGTCTTGGAAGCATCTTATTTCTCCATTAATTTATAGAGACATTTTAGCAGGATATATCAATCTGTGCTAGAGGTTATTTTCCTTCAGGGCTTGGAATATTTTGCTCCTGGCTCTTCTTGACTTGATGGTTTGTGTCAAGAAGTCTGCTGTTATTCTGATGGGCCTTCCTTTGTAGGTTATCTGTTTCTTGTCTCTAACAGCTTTTAATATTCTTTTCTTCTATTGAATTTCTGGGATCGTGATTATTATATGCCTGGGTGTAGCTCTGTTTTTGTTGTAGGTGGCTGGAATTCTGTATGCTTTATACATTTTAATATAATTTCCTTTTCCTATGTTTGAGAAGTTTTCCTTAATGATTTCTGTGAATAGCCTTTGTAGTTCCTTTGTTTATATCCCTGCTTTTTCATTTACATTCTTTATCTCAAGTTATAGATCATCTTGTCATCTTCTAGCCTTTGTATTGTTACTGCTTGTTTCCTTGTTATTTTTAAAAAGTTTTTCCTTTCATAATCCCACATTGCAAACCTGTCCTCCAGTTTGGATAATCTATCCTTAGTTTTTTTCAAGCAGTTTTGCCATCTTCCATAGAGTTTTTAATTTCCAGTTAATCTCTTTGAAACTGCTTCATGTATTCTATATTTTCTTTATATTCTTCGTCAAATGGCTCTCTCCTTGTTTGAGTTTCTCCATTCTTCCATCTGTGTCTTCTTGACATCTCTTTTATTAATGTTTTTATATCTTGTTTTATTTGGCTAAATATTTCCCTTTTGAAGTCACCTATGAGGTCCCAAATATCTTTATGCCCACTGGTGCTGTGTCTGATATTGCATGTTTGCTGTTCTCATTCTCCTTTGTGTTTACCTGTCCTGGGTCAATATTTTCAGGGTTGAGACCTGGGAACTTTTTCTTGTTACTTCCTCTTCCCATCTTTTTTGTTTCTTCCATGAGGCCCCAGTTTCTTTCTTTGTTGGTTACAATTCTTCTGAAGCATGCTAGCTAGGTGACCGTTCCAACTGCAGTGTGCTAGTGAGTTGCAAACAGGGGCAGTGTATGCTGGCCCCTCCCATCCAGGTTACTTAACCTGCTGAGGACTTCACTGCATTAATGTGCACTGGTGGCATAGGGAATTGATTTTGGATAACCTATTGGGTCTCAGCCAGTTCACATGAACCAGGCCAAGCTCACTCCACTAATCCTGTTTGGGAAGGGAATGACTGAATGAAGTCACTGCTGCCCCTTGTTCTTTCCAGTACTGCCCCATCCCAGAATGTCATCTGGTTGGAGCCCCTTTTTCTGTGGATGATTTTATTCCTGTCACCACAGGTCGATGCAGGTTCCCCACTAACTCAGCTCTTCATTTGGCTCGCTGACCCTTGATCTCAGTGTGACTGCATTACCAATGAGTCAAAGCAGTGGGATTTTAGATGGCTCAGTAAGTCGCCTCTGTGTGAGTTTGGGTGCTGCAGCAGGTGCTCTGAGCCTTTAGCTGTTCCAATAGTAGTACTGGGACTGTATGTTTGATTGGTTCTTTTCACCTTAGTTTCTTCTTGGGATGAGAGAATTCATCTCCCTCTGTTTGGAACTCCCCACACTGTATTATGTTTAATTCTAAATTGACTATCTCAGGGAGCCTCTGTAGCCTGCTATTATCTATCTGCCATATTTGCTCCTTTGTGCTAATCAGTCTTGACTGACAATTTGAATTCAGTGAACGGTGCCTGGTAGGTGATGCTACACTCATAAGTGGGTGAATCCACTCGTATTCATAGATGAACATACAGTCAAAAGGTGGGACCCACTTGGAGGTGGCGGTGGGGAACTGAGGACGTGCCTTCAGAGGATAGACTTCTTGCTGGCAAGGTTTCCTGAGCTCTCCTTCCTTAGTGCCACAGAGTAAGCTGCTTTGGTCCAACACTCAATTCTGCCATGAGGCTCTGCCTCAGCTCAGGTCCACAGCAAATGAACCAGGCTACAATGGACAGATACTTCTGAAAGTGTGAGCAAAACAAGCCATTCCCTCCTTTAAGTTATTTATGTCACATATTTCTTGTCAGCAACAGGAAAACTGACCAACTGAAGGAACAGCCAACTTTCTGAGTCAATTTTTTTAAGTTTTCTTTTTATTCAAAGGTTACCTAGTGCTTTTTAGAAGGGTAACAATTTTGAAACACTTAAGAAAAATATAGTCATATATCTGTCTTTTGAAATAGTTGACATATTGCTTTCTGAACCTGGTGATTATAAGATTCCAGTCTTGGAAAATAAGATAGACACAGAATCCAATTATACTTCTTTCTCTTTTTTTCACACTTAAAATGGTGAAAAAAAAGGATTTTGATTAATGTTAGTCTATTTCCTACAGCTAGTCTTTTACCATTAAATTTGTAAGAGAATATTACCCCAAAATTCAGGAAATCTATGGTGATTGTTACCATTTAGGAAATTTCCCATGACCTTCAAGTTTTGCTGGCTTCAAGTAGGTCAGAATTTCCTTGGTCTTAGGGGAGAGAGGATTTTAGTCTTTTTAAGATGTGACTTGTTCATATGGCACTTACATTTAGAACCCATGTTTGTCTCCTTCATGCCACAGAAGTATTTCGTAATTAATTTTCCTCTTGGATGGTTGACAAACCTTTATTATGGGCATGAAGAATCGTTTCCACTGGTGATTGCAGCACAGGTGGAGATTTGCTTCTGCCCAGGTCTTGTCTTGTCACACCATTCTTCTCACCTAGACTGAAGTGATGGCAACCCAGCTGGCCCTTGGGAGTGCTTTGAGAGCCTTGGATATCTGACTTGAAAGCCAGGAGATGAACAAAGGGACAAAATTATGAAGGAATCGATGTTTGTTAGCCAAGAGTTTTCCTGATTGCAAAATGCTTTTGAGAAGGGATTAGTGGTCTTGGAAAAGGAGACAAGAAGTCAAAAGCAAATGTCCAGAGAAATTTCTCTCAGGCAGTATTTATTGTTTTATAACATGAAACACTTCATGCTTTTGTATGTCATCCTTGCATAAGGATCATGTTGAACTTCTCTGTATTTTTCCAATTTTAGGGTATGTGTTGCCAAAGCCAGCACTGAAATCTTTTCTTTTTGAGTAACAAAAACTGTGCAGTGGACATCTTTTCTAAGCCTTGCTAAATTATTGTAATCCTTTAAAATGTAGATCAACACTCAGTATTTTACCCTTTTTGCTACCTTTAAGCAAAATAGTTTTTGCTGCTATCATTTTTTCTGGAACATACTTATTTACTTATTTATTATGGTCAACATCATTTTCCTTGTTCACATCAGCATTAATTTCCTGTGCTTGTTTATCTTTAGTTTCCCAAATGGTAGCAGGGTATTACCACAAGCAGCTATTTCTCTTATAAGTCCATTTTTTGTGTGAATTTTGCTTCTAGCATTATCACTTTTAATTTCTTTCCTCAAATTTCATCTTTGATGCCCAATTCCCTCTTTAACCTATGTGTCAATCAAAGTAGAGGAAATATGTGCAAATACACAGTAGAATACTTGCGAGTTTTAAAAAGGTGAAGTGACATTATTTGTACAATGTGGGGAAATTTTTGAGGACATTGTGTCAAACAAAATAACCTAAACAAATGACAAACATTGCATTTCCTCACTTTTATATGGCATCTAATGGAGTTGAAGTCATAGAAGGAAAAACACTGAAAATGATGTTGTAAATAGTCGTTGATCGAATATACTTCTGTTATTTATATAGTAACTGGCACATAAAAAGCAGCAAAGAAATTTGTACTTTATGTAATCACAAGAATTAGAGTGTGAAAATTGAAATTTGACCCATGATATTGGGAAATTTCTTTTGTTTAATTGAACCATGGTAATTGAACTGTGCACAGCAAAAGCTGTCTTATTCTGCTGCCTTGCAAAACTACTGTTAACTACTGTACTAAAAGTACTGCTGATGGACTGAATTTAATGTAGTCATACTCATTCAGTTTAAACAAAGTTAGATTATATCCTTTTGAAAAATATTAAGGTATCATAGCTTCTCAAGTTTTTGACAATACTGATTTCAAAAGTCATGGAAGAATAGTAATTATTTTACACGTTAATAAAGAAAAGAAAAAAAGAACATTGAAGTAGAAACAAAGCAAAGACAACTGAAAGGGTGGGGAAAGGGATAACTTGCAGATGTTCTAGTTTGTAGATAGAACTTTGAGGGTGAACTGGGAATTTTCATGTGGTATGAAATTTTAACCAAGTGATGCTCCTGGTAAATATGTTTGAGTCACATGGTGCTCTTTAGGCATCTATTGGTGCGATTTCATCTTTAGAAACTTAGGAAGAAAATCTGGAAGGAAGAGAAAAAGGTAAAACATTGAAGCCCTTTTCTCCGTACTCCCCACAAAGCAAGGACATGCCTGCAATTTGCATCTTTACTTTAAACTCCTTGGTGGCACTGCCAAGTCACTGGATGAGCAGGAATGGAGTGGTGCCTTTGAAAAATGAAACTTTTTTTTTTTTAATCTATGGTGTTACTTCCATGATACCTCTTATCCTTTCATTGATTAGAACATTCTGTCAATGCAGAATCTTCAGGATTTACAATATTTGTATGAATGACAATTTTTTTCTATGGAAGTCTCATCCTACTTTAGTCATTAACTTCAATGTTGCTGGGCACATGAATTGTAGCCACATACAGTCTCTTATAAGCATTTGTAGACATTCTGCTCTTACTTTCTGGCAAGCTTACGTTTATTTTTTCTTTGTAAGTACATTTACTATCTCAGTATAAGGAGCAATTTTATTTACATTGAGATATAAAATTCACCGTTATCTTTTCAATGATCATGTTAGTAGACAGCAGCCTTTTCATTCCATAGATTCAGACCCTTAATTTCTAATGTAGTTTTGAATAAAATCTGTCAATCCTATAAAATCTGCCCCTAAAATTGCTACATTGCAAGTAAATGACACACATGACAGTCATCTGTAACTTTTCATTGCTTTCTCATCCTTAAAGTTTATTTCCCATATTAATATTGGCAAGAGCATATTTTATCCATAATTCAAAATCATTTACTCATAGTTTGAAGCTCTGAATGAGGTCGAGAAAAGACTTAGCTTACAAAGAAACACTGAAAGTCAGAGTTGCCACATTTGATCTTACAAAAGCAGTTAAATTGTCCCTGAGGAAGTACTGCAGCTTTCCTGTCCGCAAAAGATCTTAGTGTCAGTCTCCATTCTTCTATTAAAATTTATAACATAATATTTGAAAAATCACTTTATTTCCTTGAGGAAAGTTAACAGCTAACAGTAAATTATTTTAGGAAAAATGAGTAAGTGACTAAAACCACTTTTATATCTCTTTCTATTTTCATGTAAACTAAAAAAGCTTATCTAGTTGCACCTCCTGAGTGTGGGAACAAGGATCTCAGAGGTGACATAGAAAGACTGGAAGAAATTCTAGCTTTGCCATTTATAAGTTCTGTGACTCTGCATGAATGTCATTCTTCTCTGACATTTAGTTTCTCAAGGGTAAAAATAGGAATTAAAAAATCTTTTTGCCATATAGGATTATGAAGATTAAAGATTCATAAAAATTGTGTGAGAAACAGTGATAATTTTAGATATCAAAATAATGAATCTGGTAAAAATAGCTAATATAACAATTACTAAGATTTTCTAAAGTTTAAAAAAGCTTTAGAAAGTAATGTTGAATTTATAGATGAGAAAATGTTTGACTTTATAATTATTTCAAATAATGATAGGTCTGATAATCATTTTTAACACTTTATTAAATAATTATTTCCCAAAATATAACACAGAGGCTGGGATTTGTCTTTTTGCTGCATATATAAATATATATATATATATATATATATATATATATATATATATATATATCTCAAAACGTGGTTTGTACTTTATGTACAAAAATGATATTTCCTGACCCCAAAAATCTTCATCTTATGATCCCTAGACAATAGTGGAATAATATATGAAAATATTTGTGACTGAACAAGTAATGAGGTTGAGTAAATCAAGAGATAAGCATTCAAGATGTGATCATTTAATAGAAAACAAATGCACCCCTCCCACAGACTTTTTTCGTTTCTATGGTAAAGATGAATATGATTACTGTAAATGTCACTGCTTTTGGTGATAAAAACAGGCATCTTTTTTTGGTTTACTCTGGATTGTGAATAGTGGAAGAATTTTAAGAATATCATGAGAAAGGAGGATTAAATTTTTTCCAAACTTTATTTCTGAAGCAATATTTAATCAATATTGGAGTGCGATTAATTTAACACTGAATATACTTATAATTTTATTATCAATAACTTTTTTTTGAGACAGCCCTTGCTATGGCAACTCAGACTGATCACCAATTCACTTTGTAGCGCTCACTGGCCTCTTACTCTCAGCAGTGCTCTTGCCTGAGCCTCCAAGCGCTGGGATTACGGCATGCACCACTGCACCCAGCTAAAAATCTTTCATAGTTTAACAATAGTAGAGAAATGGATATATCCTGGGACAGTAGTATTAAGTGAAATAAATTCACACAGACTTAAATATTATGTAATTTCCCTTTTATGGAAACCCAACATATAGATAACATAAAGTGCAAAATAAAAGACAAATAATTGGGAGCAAGGAAATAGATCTTTGGTGAATGAGAAGGGGATGAATAGATGGAGGGGCAGAAAGTGAAAGAAAGGAGAAGTAAAAGAATTAAGATGTGTTACATATGTGTGCCAACCCCACATGATGAATGTAAATATTATGTACTCAAGCGTGTATGAGTAAAAATAAAAAGTCTGAAATAATAGAAATGCAAATAAAAACAACTTTAAAATGAACATCTCAAATTTGCTGGAAAAAAAAAAACGCAACTATAACAATGGTCTACTAAGGTTTCTCATTTTTATCTTTGACTTATGATGTCATAAATTTTGGGAAATTGGAGAGTTTTGCATTCACTTTCTTGTGGATTCAGAAAACCCTAACTAAGGAGAGTATTTAGCAGATGTTAATTGAGCAACAGAAGTATCTGCCAGATACTTCCAGAAAAATAGACCATGCAGGAACTCACTGGGAACTATGGTCCATATTTTAATCTGCTCAAATATTTCTTGGAAAATACATTTAGGCACTGTTTTAAATATTTCACAAATAAATGAAGTTAATTCTTCACAATGAAAAGAATTTCAGTGTAACTACAAGGGCAGAACAGAAACTAAGAGTTGAAGTGACTTATTTGCCCAAGTTAATACCATTCCTCCAGGAATGCCCTGGAGATGTAAATGTAGATAGCGTAACAGGATCCATTGCTCTGCATCTTCTCTGAGTAGCTGTTGAGATTCCTGGTACGAATTTGGTCAGGTGGGTTTAAGTATTTGGTCTGATCTAATATTTCTAAAACTTGAAATTGGGTGCTTTTCGAAACTGAATCTATGAAAGTGAAGAACTCTTAAGAACTGCAAATTCACCCTTTCCTATTAGTACTTGCACAGTCCTTTTTTGCAACATCAGGTAAGCAAAAATGTTTATTTATGCCCTGTGTACAAAATGAATTTCATAAAGACATGTCACCGTCTCACTGAATTATTGCTCCTGCAGAGAGTAGATACACTGGAAAGGTATTTACTGATTCTTCTCTAGGAACCATGTATAGCAAATAACGTGGCATTGTGTGCTGGAAACACAGGATTCTGGATAAAAGACATAAAGAAGGGATATGAGAACAATATATCAAGCAATAATTCAGCGTTTCCTTATCGTCCTTCATGTTTGTCCATGCTACACAGATCACAAAATCGCACATGCAATGGAATATCTTTGTATAAAGTGAATAATCGGAGCAATGTGCATAACTCTGCTGCTGTGGAGAGGGTACGTGAGAGGCCACTTTTGGATGGTGGACAACAGTTTGGAAAGAAATAAGAAAAGTAAATGACACCAGCACAATCAATGTCATTGGATAGTGGGATGAAAGAACTTATGAGGTAGTGCATAGTTTAGTAAATGTTTGTATTTTTTTAAAGAGTTATTTCAGAAAAGACACCTTACCATCAGTACCCCAGCAAACACTTCCACTT